TGGTAAGTACCCCGAATCCCAAATCTACACCACGATCCCTCAATACACTTTTCATTGCCTCAGCGACAGGCCATGGGGGACACCAGTCATCAGAGCCTAGACAGCCGGCTCAAGAATGTGTCGGAGACGTTGTCAACTTCCTGCTGTACCAGACTGCTCTTCTAGCTAGTTTGCCCTGCTTTCAGCCCAAGGAAAGACAATCCCTTTTACCTACATGACGTCGTGGCCCTCGATTGCAGCCACTTACGTCAGGGTATTTGTTTGACCCTGAAGGAGCCAAGCTATTGGTGGTCAATACATACTTGCATGTTTTACTGCCTGACAACTTTGAAAAGCTGAGGGAATTTTGAACAGAGCCAAGAAAACATAGAACCCTGGAAAACGGTTCCAAGTTTTCAGCAATGAAGCCCCTCACCGCCCTATGTCTCCTCCTTCTCAAGTCCCGTTTATTTAAGTCTGTTGATTTAAACCAGAAGGCGATGCCAGACTTTCCCTCACCCAGCCAGGTGCAGCTTGTTAGGGATGCAGGTCCACGGTGAGGTTTGGGTGAGCTATAGTGCTGACGTCAAAACCAGAAGGTAGAAGATCATAAGCAACACAGCCAGGTCTGGCTACAGAGACCATGAAACCTAGAATCATGGGGTCCACCACCTGTGGCCAGGACCTGGAAGAGAAAAATCCACAGGAGAAGGCTCTGCCTCTGACCCTGGCTCAGTTTTAAACCTATGTGTATATAACTCTCTCTATAAAATCCATATGTGTGTATATCATGTATATATCATCCATACATATAATATCCATATACATGCTTACATACATATACAAATACACTATCCAGCACCTACATATATATATTTTCACGAGTTAAAAGTTGTCTATCGTCACACAAACCAGGTCTTTATTACTGTTTTGTTTGTATATTATCCCTATATGGTTTCATATAGTATTATGAGCTTTCTTTTAAAACTTGGTCAAGATCTGTTGAATAACCCTCACCACCCACTTTCTTGCTACACACGGGAGACCTCCCTGTTTGGCAGCACTGACTGAGCTAACGAGTGAAGCATTAAAAACCAGGTGCTCTGGATGGAAACGGTGAAGCCTATGCACACCCACCCACGGCATCTCTGGTAGGCTACAGAGAACACGGGAGGACAGTGGCTTTTCTCTGGGAACAGTACAACTGGGAGGCAATGCCCAGTGTATGCACGCAGATCAATGCATCTGCTCTCTGTGAGCCCCCCATGAAGCCAGCATCCAAGAAGAACCTATGCCCTGTATCTAGCCACTGTTTCCACACCATCACAAGGCCAAACTTAATACCAGATCTTCGCTATTCCTGTATTTGAATGCTGTGTGCAGCGGAGTCTATAGGATAAGCTTTGAGTCTGACCGCTGTTTGGTCAACGCAGCAGGTCTGAGGCTCTAACTCAGCCTTGATAAAACCTTGATTCATCTTCCTTGCTGTATTGTAGTCCACTGTGTAGCTTAACCCAATTAAAGTCTCGGCCCTTAGGTGATGGCTCTGGCTTGGGGGTGTAAACACTGCTCTAAACGGGTGTTCATTTCTACTCAGTGTCCACTCAGAAGGAGTTAGATGGGGTATGATGTATGCGGAGACTCAGCATTGGGGAACATTAAACCAGGCAGTTTGCAGGCCAGTTTGGAAAAAAATAAACATAGCAATAGATTCTCTTTCCTATATTCAGCATGAACATAGTTTGTGGGGACTCCTCCGGGCATTAACAATAAACAATCTAACAGCCGTGTTAGTCTATCCAAGGGAAGAGTTGTGAGAAAATGGGACCTCTTTCTAGACACTAACTAGGGAAGCTCAGAGAAAGCAATACTCCTAGTTTGTCACTCTAAAATGTAAACATGACATCTGGGGACACCCCGGAGGCTGCAAGTGTCTTGAGTCTCTGATTCCAGCCTGTCTCCAGACCTCTCTCATTCTGTTTTCAGACTGCGCATGTGAGGTATTTTTTTTCCAGTCAATGCCTGTAGGCATCAGCATTGAGGTACTGTCTGGGGATGGCAGGGAAGCATGGTGTCTTAGCTCGGACCCACCAGGCTTTAAAGCTGATGTCTTAAGGCAGACATTCTGGGCAGGACTTTACTTCTTCATCCCGGGATCTTCATCTGAGAAGTGGGTACAAGAATGGCCCCTCATCCCTCGCCCCTTGCTCCTCATATCACCCCTTACCACCTACTGTAGGCAGGAAAGTTGATCCCAGGGTCCCAAGAGTGGGAGAGAGCTGCCCCTGCCCCTGATCAGCTGCGGCACTCAGGAGAATGGGTCCTGCCCTTCACCTGGGAAGCATAATAGACTTGACCCTGTTGATGGGGGCACAGGCAATCTGGTCCCACCCTTCTTCTGCCCCTTCCCTATCCTTTGCTGCCTATGGCAGATGGGAGAGCTGTCCTGGAGATCACGAAAGTGGGATCAGCTGACCCTGGTCCTCACCGGCTACAGCACTCGGAAAAACAGGCCCTGCACCTCTCCAGGACAGTAGAACTGACCCTGCTGGCAGGGATGCAGGTAAGCCAGACTGAGAGCTGGAGAGAAGAACTGACCCTGCCTCTCTCCCATATGCCATGTGGCATGGGTGAGGGAGAGATACCCTCCTCCCTGCACCCCTTGCTACCTGTATCAGGCAAGGGAGCTGGCCATGGGGGCATGAGAAAGAAGAATTGATCCTATCCCTCATCAATTGTAGCACTCAGGAGAATGGGTCCTGTACCTCGCTTGGGCAAAACTGTAGAGCTGGCCCTGGTGGTGTGGGTAAGGCAGACCCTAGGGCATGAGAGCAAGAGATCTGGCCCCACTCCTCGCTGTCTGTTGCATTGGGCCAGCTGGCTGAAGCAGTGCTGGAGAGCTTACCCAGGAGGTGGTGATGAGGGAAATTTGGTGGGCCGACCAGCCCAGCTGCCATCCAGGCTCAGAACTGGAGCTCTGAGCTAGCCCATCTCTGCATCTACCTCATCTATAAATGGCTGCAGCATGTGAAGGGGCCAGACCTGTAGATCCAAAGCTGCAGAATCTCCATGACACAGGACAACAACGGCTATATAGCCAAAAGGAGCCCGCTAAGGGCCCAGCATCAATTGTATAGCAGAAGTCTGAGGCCTCAAACAAGAACAAGGATTCATTGCAATGAACACTTACAAGTAAGGGTGTACGGACTAAAGGGTGTACTGTGTGACTCACTGGGCCACACAACAGCTTCCATGCCTAGGTTTTGTTTGTGCTTTTTAAGTTTTTGTTTGTTTGTTTTTCTTTGGAATATTACGTTATTTGGGGGGAGTTGCAAGACTAGAGGGTGAATACAAAGAGATAGGGAGATGAATGGGATCAGGATGCATGATATGAAATCCACCAAGAATCAATTTTAAAAAAAGGAAAAAAAAAACGTTATCATATCCTGAGAAACCCTCAAAAGGTAGGCTGAGATGCCAGAATGAGCGTTAGCTACATCCATTCCAATCAACAACATCCACACAATTAGTGATTATTGCCATTTGTTTGCTGTCAGCTGAGGGGTGACCCCAGCTGGGTGGCCTTCTTTTTCCTCCCTAGCAGGCGTAAACTGTCGGTTCCCCGCCCCCAGCTCTTAGCAGCAGCGGCGGCAGCAGCATCCTGACTGCCAGCTCTGGAGTCACACTGCTCTGAGGCTGCTAATCCTCCCCCTCAGATGTGGTTAGCTAGGGATGGGGACGACAAGAAGGGGGATGGCCTAGTTGGAACACAGGGAAGCCAAGCTGAGCTCCCTGAAGCTGGCAGCCAGAAGCAAACAGGAAACAAATTAGTTTAATCGGGCAATGTAAACCAGCTTGGGCAGGCAGGCAGGCATGGAAGAGCCACCAAGCGAAGAGAGCTTGTCGACACTTCTCACTCAGTAAATGCAGGGATCAGTGTCACAGGCAAGCACCACGGAGGAGACACTGCACAGCCTGTTGGGGGCCCCCCATAATGTCAGGCGCTGTCCATCCTCTCTGGGGCAAGGACACGTGTGTGCAGACGTGCCTCGGTAGCCGGGATGCTTGGGAGTCCAGCAGCGGGGCTCAGAGTAGGGACAGCACGTGTTAGAGGTGCAGGTTTGTAGCTCGCAGGTCTGCATGGGGAGGGCAACCGTGGTTAGGTAGGCAGCCATCTTCAATCAGGGCTCGCACCCGTGTCGTCCATTTGACACGGCTATGTAGTGCAATTTCGTTTGCCTGAGGGGGATCGTGGACAATTTTTTTTTTATTTTTTTTTTTTTAAAAAAAAAAAAAAAAAAAAAAAAGGACCAGAGTGGGTCCTTTGTTTTTCATATGTTTTTCCTTCAGTCTGCTTTTTCCTTCTTCACATACTTTAAACTCATGCATCAGGTGAATGGAGCAGACCAATTCCTCTGTGGATTTTTCTTATTCATTCATCCACCAGCAAACACTGGTTGATGTGGGTGTGGTGTGTGCTGTATACAGCAGTTAGGCAGAACCTGATTTCAGTTCCCCTAAAGAGCTTTGATAGAAGATAAGTGTAGACCATTTCACAAGGCTGCTTTTAGTCCAGTGGGTGAAATGGGCATCAGATGGCCTGAGCGTTCTTTACAGATAAGATCAACAGCAGGCAAGAAAGAGTGGGAGCCATCCCGGAGGACTCAGGGGCTCTCCACCGAGGTGCTATGCAGAGGCACTACAACACTAGGTTCCAGTGCCTGAGCTGGCTACACCTAGATCTGCAGAGCAGATCTGGGTGCTCGCAACTTGAATCGCAACTTGAACAGATCAAATCCCACCTATCCTTAAGGAATCCATCTTCAGTGTCCACCTCAGGAGGGCCAGCGGCTCCGAGGCCTTCCGGGTCTTTCCTCATGTCACAGGCTGGCCCCACCACGCTGGGTACGGCAGCCGTCATCTGGGTGAAGCTGAATAGGGGAGCAGAGGGGATAGGTAGCAGAAGGGTACAGGTCACAGCCTTGTCTTGGGTTTTATAGGAAGAAGTGGGGGGGGGGGCACGCAAACTGCCAGCAGACTCCAGACTCATGAACCAGATCGGCGGAGCAAAGAATGAAGGCAACAAATAAAAAAAAGTGTTGGGGGACAGCTGCAGGTCAACCATGGCACCAAGAGTCTGCCGCCCCGGAAATTTGCTCTCTAACCTGGCCTCAGGACAGAGTCAAATTGTTCCTAGTTGCGAGTTATCTGCTGGTACCTGTAATCCAGAAAGCCTCTGGGATGCTCGGTCAGCAGATGCTCAGACATTTGGGTCTATTCCAGCTCAGCTTCGTGCTGTATGACTCTTCCTGAATCCTCATACTCTAGACAGCTTCTAACATTGTATGTGTCATAAATGCTGTGTCAGTCATTCTCATCCAGTATTGTTCAGGGAGAGGCAAGGAAAATAAAGCCCTCACGTGCTCAGCACAGATGTGGAACCCAAGTGCCCAGAGAGCCAACTGTGCCACAAACCGAGTGACTGAAAAGACAGAGCTCTAGGGCTCTAGGGTTGGACGTCCCTTGAGGGGTACCAGACAGCAGGAGCCTTTCAGGACTAGGACAAGGTGGGCTGGCCTCTTGTTGGCTTCTGGTGCTTGCTGAGTTGGCCAATTTTGGTGTTTCTTGGCATGGGGAAGCTCCACCTTGGCCTCTGCCTTCATCTTCACCAAGATTCTTATGTGGAAGTGAGACAGAGCCCCTGTTCTGTAAGGATGCAGTCAGACATATTTCCTACCCTACCCTGATGACCTCATTTTAACCTTGTCACCCCTGTAAGGACACTCGCTCCTCCTAATGAGGTAACCTTAGGAAAGTTTCACACGCTGATTTCAGTGTCGCTTAGGACAGTGAACGTGAAGAAGACGCAGTTTGGCACATAAACCCCTGAAATCTGAGCTATAAAAGGATCAGGAGTCATTCCCCAGCAGGTAGGATGGTACCCAACCCCAAGGGCTGGCAACTGGGAGGCTGAAGCAGGAGGATCTCAAGTTTGAGACTAGCTCTGGCTACATAGTAAAACCCTGTCTCAAAAACCCATGGGTAGAGATGTAGTTCCAGGCTAGAGTACTTGCCCAACATGCACAAGGCTCTGGGTTCCACCCACAGTGCCAAAAAGAAAATAGAAAATGTAAAAAAGTAAGAAAATCTGCTGTAGAACCCTAAAGCTCTGAGTCCCGGTGTGCTGCAGTTTGGAGTTTGGTCCCCAGCGTGACGGTGTTAAGTTGGTAGACTGTCAGGGGATGAGGCATAAAAGAAAGTGATGGGTTCGTGTTGCCTCTTGGGAGTGGGCTGGGTCTCACAGGACCAGGCAGCTCCCGTGACAGCCCTGCCACAAGACTTGGAACCTGCCCTTCCCTGCTCTTCCTGTTCATACTTAGGTTCTTTATGTAAGAAACTGATTTCCTATGGCCAAGGCCATGCTGAGGAAGTTCCATCCACCAGAATTATGAGCCAAATAAGTGTCCCTATAAATTATTGAGGCACAGGCATTTTGTTACTGCATTGTGAAGTCAACTAAGATATAAGGACGTTCACATCAGGAAATACTTCCTGGCTGGCCCAGAACAGCGATTCAATAACACGGGTACCACAGGTGATGGTTCCAGGCACTACATGCCCATGGCAGAAGCCTGGGTCCATCCAAAAAAAGAAGAAGAGCACCAGCCAGAGTGACCCTTGGGTATATGGTCCTCATGCCTGCCAGTGTCTCTGAGGTAACGATTTCAGAATCCATCATGAGTTCACAGGATGAATGCAAGCCCAAGATCCATTGGGGTTCCTCATGTTCCAAAGCCCCTGACTCTCAACTACAGTTCAGGGTGTCTGCACATCTGTGGTAACCACAGAAGCAAGGAAAAACGGGAGGGTCCTCCTCCCTAGTCCAGCAGTCCCTTCCCTTCTGGGCTGCACGGATCAATGGTGGTCACCTACCCACCTGAGGTCACTTGTTCCCACCCTGGCTGCTCCGCGGCTGTTTGGTCTCCCGGCTGGGGAGTTTGCAGTTAATTACCAGGCTCTTGGTGGCGGAGGTGGGGGGTGGGGGCTCATTGTTCTTCCAGGACATCTCCCTTTGTCAAAAAACAAAAACTTGTTGTAAGTGGCACTCTTGTAGGTTTACCGCGCAGACAGACTAATTGTATCTTTTAATCTGGGTCAGACTGCTCTTGCTTATTACAAATTGGCTCTGACTCCCACAGAGAAGGGAATGCGAGGCTCGCTGTAGCCAAGAATGCAGAGGCAGCTTTACCTGCAGACCTGCTGGGGGTTGTGCTCCTCGGGGATGCTCCAGTTGGTGCTCAAGGATGCAGGGCAACATCAGCTGTGGATTGCAGCTGCCTTAAGCCAGCAAGCCTCTCTTCTGCAGCTGGATGCGGGCCAGAGACAGTGATGAGCGAACACTCTCCCACCCCCATCCCAGGGCCCGTTTGTTAATACTGGGCTGCCTTACTGGGGAAAAGGGTCTTGGGATTTTGGCTGCTGATTTTGTCTTGGATTGGGTGAAACCTAAATGAAATCTGAAGTGTGCTTAGGACATAGACCAGAGAGATGGCGTGATGAGGCCACAAATAAAGACGTGCTGGCAGCCACTTGAACCTGGGGTAGTTGAGGAGGACCCCTGCTGGTGCCGTAATTTGGATCCAGGGGAAGCAATGTGGGCTCTGACCTCTAGACTTTAAAGAGACTATATTCCTGTTGGAATCAGCAGCCAGTACACAGGAAGTCTCCTGAGGCTCCCTTAGGAGATCAGTGTACAGGGACACTCTAGTTGGTGGCTCCAGGCAGGACCACCCACTTGACTAACAATAACAATACCTGGGTGCTGCTAGAATCCAGGATGGTTCCCTCCATCATTGTCTACCACTTAGACGGCGGAGGAACTAACTTTCAGATGGAATCTTCTGTCTCCAAAGTCCCCTATAAACTCCCAAGCCCCCTGCACCAGGTGTGCACACTCTCCATCCCTTGGGGAGACTGGGGTCCTTCAGTTGTTCTGATTGAAGACCGACTCTGCCCCTAGAGATGCCTGTCTGCTTTCCTTATGCCCAGATCTCCATCAGTTACCATTCAACACCAGCCCCTAGTGCATCAGTACAGTTAGGACGGCAATCTTGTCCCAGCTTCCCCGCACTGCTGAAGATGGTTGACTTCACACAGTCTCCATGGCAGGCTCGATCTCCTCCTCCACAAACTTGTAATTTTTTTTTGTTGTTGTTGTTTTTCTAGTTGTTTGGTTGTTCTATGATCTCTCTTGCCTTGGGCCTTTGACGAAGCTCCTCTGTCTGATAGAACCTCTTCCTTTCTTTGACTCGTGGGTTGTGTTTCTGAGGCAAGGGAAGAAGTCCTCTGCCACTTCTGCCCCCCGAAGCTATTCTACCAAGGAGGTCGTTAGTGAACGGGTGGGAAAATGAACGGAAGGGGCTCCAGAACCGTAACGCTGAGGGCCCAGTGGGCATCTGTGTGTTTAGAAAGCAGCAGAAAGTCAAAGTCAAGTTAGGAAACGATCAGGACTAAGACATTGAACTAAGAATAAGGTTAGTCTCCATACCCTGCTCAAACCCGCCCAGTGCTTCGCAGTTATCAGGAACCAAGTTCTTTGTATTCACACCAATCCTGTAACTGGCTTCAGTCTACAAAGTTACCTGAAGATTCACAGAGATTGCTGGAGTCCTGGCTGTCACAACCCCATTTCACACTAGAGAAGGAAGACAAAACTATAAATGGTGCATTACTTAGGTAAATAAGTCATCACAAGGTGCTACCCAGGAGCTGCTCCAGCATATGCCTGAGTCTCACTCGCCATGCCTACCGGGAAAGACCTTTTAGCCAGACCTTCTGCCAACCAAGCAAGGTTGCTGGTGATAAAGAGGAAGTGAAAGACATTGGAGAAGAATCACAGTTCTAATACTCAGGTATCTCTCAGCACCGAGCCGAGTAAAGTTACGCTCCGGCATGCTCAGAGTGGAACTGCACAAATACAACAGTCTATAGCTATTCCGTCCTGTGGGGACACCGTGGGTGATGACCAGATAGACCTTGGCTCTCAGGTTTCATGCTGGGGACACAGGGTCATAGTTCTACACGAAGATCTGTTATCCCTAAAGCCCCCCCCCCCAAAGAAAGTTTTCTGGGGAAATGAACCCAAAGCATGCATTTGTCAATAACAGGTCAATAAGGAGGAGTCTACTTACAGGTAAAGGGAGTGTGAACCACATCCCAGCAGTCTTTGCCCATCAGCAGGGCCTCGCAGGGATGCTGGCTCTGTGGGTACCATCCTGCTGTTTCTGTCCCTGGCAGTGGAGGTAGAGTGCCTTGCATTAGGTCAGGGGGGGAAGAAGACAGAAGCAGGAGGAGGGAGAAGGGAGGGGTTCACACCACCATCCAGACCTATGTGTCTGCCACAGCCCGCCTCTTGATTCTCGAACCACCTCTGAGCCAGCTGTTAGAATGTGCACCTCACGGATGAGGGAGAAAGCCATTTTCTCAAGGAGACAGATATGCAAGGTGTCAAATCCACATTTGACCTGGCTGAAGAACACAGTCTTCCCCGTCGATCACATCCAGAAATCAGGCTCGAGCCATTGCTACAACACCAATATGCTTCTATGTGTGTGTGTCCATGCCTCTCATGCGTGTGTGTCTGTATGTGTGTATCTGTGTGTCTGTGTTTGTGCGTGTGTGTTGGGGGGGTGCTCCTGAGTCACTTTAAAATGCTGTCAACCACTATCCCTCCCAGAACAATGACCACCATGACAACACACCTGAGGGTGTGGGTAGGGACTGAGAGCTCTGGTCCTTCATCTTTCTTCTGGTTCAGGTCTCAACCAACAAAGTCATTCAGCATCCAGGACCCTCCCTTGTTGGCACCAAAAAGCTGAAGCACATTGGCCCATGACCTGACTTGGCATTCCCTTATTCCCCTACACAGAGGTGACCCTCTTTTAGGAGTGTATAGAGCCTTTAGAAGGTGGGGCATGGCTGGCAGAAGGGCGCCCCTAGAAGTGGGCCAGCTCTTCGTGCCTGATATACTGTTGACTGTCTGCCATGATGTGAAGAGAGGAGCTCCCATGCGCATGCCTGCTGTGTGATGCTCTGCCCAGGCTCATTGGGTCAAGGCAGCAGAGCTGAGCCCTCTGAAAACACGGGACAAAGTAAACCTTTCTTCCCTTACATATTTCTGTCACAGTGATGCTAAAGTAATCAGCACACAGACTAAGCCTGGAGCCACTAAGACAGTGGGTGGGAAAAGACACGTGATCATGCTCTAGAAGACGTACCAGCATCAACCTGAACTGGACTCGATGCCATGGGTGCTCCGGAAGCAGTACTGAAGAGAAGAAGCAATTGTCTGGGTTATGGCATGAAGGATATGGATATAAACAAATGCAAACTAAAATCATGAATGGGAAAACTAGGATGGTGGCAAGGGAAAGGGAAAGACAGGGGCTAGACAGAAGATCCTGTAATTCTGTCTTTTCTCTCCCCACCCCCCCCACACCCTCAAAGGCAAGAGTTCTACCACTAAGTTATATCTCCTCTGTTTTGAGAGAGAGTCCCATAAACAGGCCAGGCTAGTCTCAGACCCTTAAGCCTTCTGCTCTGCCTCCCCAGTGCAGTGATTACAGACAGACATATGCCTCGTGCCCAATCTGTCATCTAGCCTAAACTAAATGCTGCATGTTCTAATATTTATGCAAATACTTTCTATGTTTTTTTTCAAATGCTGGACATATTCCAATACTATCATTTTGAGAGGCAGAAGGAGGATATATCTCCTATAGGAATTGTCACTGGGTGTAGCAGGGTGACTGACTACATGGGGGCCTAGGAAAGGGTCTAATCTCCTGCCACTTGGTGAGAAAGGCTACGGTTGGTCCCTCCAGACACCAGTCACAGGCAGCAATGTCTGAGAGCAGCTGGCGGCCACCTCCCAGGGTCCCACCCATGGGGTATGGCAAGACAGAGAGAGCTCCTTGGGAAGTCGGGCTTCCTCTGGGTGAAGGATGGGATCGTTCCATCTCTGTCAGCTACTCGGAGAAGGAAGTGCTGTAGAGAGACAGATTAGATCATCTATTATCAAGACGGCAAAGAGACTGAGGAGCTACCTGCAGTTTGCCAATTATCAGAGTCCTAGGGAAGGCTGCCTGCCTTCCTCCTCCCCGTCCTCCCAGCCCAGCCTCTCCAGAGAGCACAAATCAAGAGCTAATCCCTCAGAAGGGGCCTGATGAGGGGGCATGGTTGCTACAGGCAGTGACAGACATTGTCCAAGATAGGTGGATTTTCCTCTGCTCAGGCCAGAGAGGGAAGAACAGGACAGATGCATTCTGTGGTTACTGTCATCGCCCTACCAAATGCTTGCCTTAGGCTGGCAATCTGCTAAGAGTTCTTTCTGCTTCCTTCCTCTGGCTTCTGGTAGCATCTTTACAAGACAGTGGTGGTGCACACCTTTAGTCTCAGCACTGGGGAGGTAGAGGCAGGTAGATCTCTGTGAGTTCGAAACTAGTCTGGTCTACAGAGTGAGTTCCAGGACAGCCAAGACTGTTACACAGAGAAACCCTGTCTTGGCATGGGGGGAGGAAAGAAAAGGAAAGGGAGGGAAGGGAAGGGAAGGGAAGGGAAGGGAAGGGAAGGGAAGGGAAGGGAAGGGAAGGGAAGGAAAGGAAAGGAAAGGAAAGGAAAGGAAAGGAAAGGAAAGGAAAGGAAAGGAAAGGAAAGGAAAGGAAACTGAGGCAGACAAATCATCACCCAGATTCCCAGAGTGGCCTCCCCAAATGTGCCGTCTCAACCACGCCATTTACCTGTTGATGAGGCTTCATCAGACATCAGCTTTGCAGATGGAGAGAGGGGGCATGGTTCACTACTTCCACAAGCTCTGGAGGGCCCTGCCCTGGGAGGCAAATGGTACCCAGCAGAGCTGTCTCTGAGTGTGGAGGCCCAAGGACCTTGTTTGTCTTCAGGCACATCTCTAGAACAGATTCTGGAGTTTCTATCCAACATCGCTCAGAACTCTGGGCTCTCATGACTGTGGATCTTTGTGAAGAGACATCTGAGCTCCCAAGTCCTGCAGTTTCTGAGATCCCTGATCCAGAGACGACCCTGCTGCCGCCCAATGGAAATGAGTAACCGAGAATGATCAACCACCCCACACCAGCAGCACTGGGGCCCTGAAACCACCATCTTCCAAACGCCTCACTTTACCACCTCATCTGGGCATCTTTTCTTCTTTTAATTCTTAAAATTATTTTATCTAGAGTGCCAGGGCACATGTGTGGAGACCAGAGCACACTGGTTCTTTTTCTCCACCATGTAGGTCCTGATGACTTAAGTCATCAGACTTGGCTACAAGCGCCCTAAAGCTGCTTATAGATTTGGCACACAAAGTCTTGGGCTGTATGAGGTTCTTTCTGGCTGGAACTGGAGGAGTTTTGGAAAGGAGAGGAATAGAGGAACATTCAAGGGATGCCCCACCCTCTGTTTCACCCACATCATTCACCACAGCTGGGAATATGGCAGCAGTCTGGTCCTCACTTTCTGGACTCTAGATCCTGGTTTATCCCCCAGGGAGAGGACTTTTGTTGGGAAAGCCAGGGATGTATTTGAGATAGATGCCAGGTGGTCACCTCCAGCCAACATAGCCTCTAAACATGAATGGTGTAGTGTTAGCAGGAAGCATGAGGAACCATTTGCTTAACAAAAAAAGAAACCATTATTTTTTAAAAAGTATTTGCAAAGTCCAAGGAGAAGGACCTGCATATATTACCAGCAACTTTCCTATTTCGTTCTGCAGTTTATAGCCATAAAACAAGGGGGCTGCTCTGTGCCTAGAAGGCAGCTTTAATGGTGATGCTCTCCCTAGTTCCACTCTACAGTGTTTGTGGAATGAAAAGCAATTGCAGAGATAGCTATTGCAAAAAGCTACCATGGTTCTAACAATCCTTAGCAAAAAGCTACCATGGTTCTAACAATCCTTAGCAAAAAGCTACCATGGTTCTAACAATCACGTCCCCAGCCCAGCTCCTCAGCATCTTGCATTCCATAGGGTCTAATTTCTGACGTCTAGGCCATGACCTAACCAACACCTGACCCAAAGTGGGTGTTAGACATCAGTTTGTGGGCTGCATGACAGACTCCTGTTACGGAGAAGCAGAGGCAGCAGGCACGCAGCCTGCATGTTCAGATTTAACTTCAACAACCCAGGCACTGAATCTCGAATCGACACCCACCACTTGCTCCTTAGAGGTTTCCTATTAGGAGGGGGCCAGCAACACACCTGCTGATACCTGGTCAGAAGATACAGAATGACTCAAGGGAGGACTGGCCTTGGGAATCAGCTCTAGACCCATTCGCCTGAAGGATTCTACTGTTAGAGAAAAAGCGACTCGGAACAGAGGAGTCCAGAGGGAGCTTGGGATCCTTTCAGGTGCCAATCTGCCTTAATGTTCCACCCCTAGGCTACTTCCTTTCTCCCAGTATTTTCTTAGCATGATTCTCTCCCTCCACCGAGCCCAGATGGGTCCTTCTCCCTACAGCCAGGAACCCCTTGCCACAGGGGTAGGTGCAAAACATTGGCCCAATGTAGATCAAGTCAGCCTGGCTTCTGTGAACTGGCTGCTTTTTCTGTAGTGCTACGGAAATGAGTGGACAAACACCAGCCAGATCAGTGTCTTGCATTCAGGAGTCTCACTGGGCTGGCTTTCCCTCCTCGGTCAAGCTGGATGTGGAATAGATGGTCATGAACTCTGTGCTCCCACGCTCTTAAGAAAATGGAGCTGAAAACACTTAACCTTGGCTCAAAAGCAGAAGCGATAGATGAGGGGGGGGCTGGGGTAGAACAACTAAAAGGGGACAGAAGGACTTTGTTGGGCCATGGCAAAGAGCAGTTCTCCATAGAGAAGCCGCCCACAGGCTCGGGCTGAACCCACTGAGTCATTGTCTGAGCTCTGCCCCGTGAAGATGTCCCAAAGGCCAATCCCTGACCTAAGCAGCCAAACTCTCAAGGAGATGAGGTTTCTCTTAACCCCATCGGGGGGAGCAAGGCACAGGGTCTTGGGGTGCCCTGGGAGAAGGCAAACCCTAGTACTCTGCCAGCCGCTAGCTCTACTGGGCGGTTTGTATTAGCACCCTGGCCATCTTGACGGCTGGGCTGAGAAGCTGAGCCAGGTGTTTGTAGGGGCCAGAAAGGCAGCAGCGACAAGAGACGTGGCGCTTAGTCTGTAGAGCTCCTCCCCATAGCAGGGAAGTGCGTGTTGATCCATAGCGGATGAGACAGATTGACGGTTAATCTGAATTGGACAATTTAATTAGATTTAGAAATGCCTGGATTAGTAGAGTACATGCCTGGGTGGATAAGTAATTTGGGGGCCAAAGACGATTAGATCATGTGGGCCCTCATCTAAGAAATGGATGCATCGATGGATAGATTAACTATGATGAAAAATAGCAGGTGGGGCCTCTTTAGAGGAAGCAGGTTAGTGGGGAGAGGTCTTGGAAGCAGCCGTATGTCTCTTCCTGTATCTGCTCTCCTCTGCTTCCTACCTGCCATGAAGTGAGCAGCCTCGGCAACAGGTTCCTGCTGCCACGACTGTCTGCTTCCCCATAGGGCCCAGAAACAAGAGAGTCAACCACAACAGCCTCAGCCTGCTGAAACTGTGAGCCAGAAGTCAACCTCCCCTTCCCCAAGGTGCTTCTGTCGGGTATTTTGTCAAATCAACAAGCAAGGTGGTGAATTTATTGCCTTCTAGCCGAGCTCCAAGCTCCAAGCTCTGTTCCTTCATGGGAAACACTTAGTGGGGTGGTGTTGAGTCGGGGAGGCCTGTGGGAAGCAGTGCTCTGAGGTTTGTTTTTAAAGAAAGTGTGCAGGGGATGGATGGGAGCAGAGAGTTTCACAAACTCAGCCAAGGAGTCCATCATGACTGCCGTGCTCTGGTTTATTTTCCCAGACTGGGATCCTGGGTTGACACAGTCTGCGGCCGGCTCTGCTGGTCATGCACATGCAAGGGAGTTCTGCTTCTTCAGATTAGTTTTAACTATGGAAATTTTTCAGATATAATCAGAAGTGTGGAGGACAGTGCGGGGAGCCCCCGTACCCCTTCCTTGGCTTCGGCGGTGATTAGCTAGGGGCCATTTTCTTTTCATCTCTAGCCCCACCCATCCCACTCTACCCCAGATGACTTTGAAGAGAACCCAGACCTCATATATCTTTAAGATGCTCAGATTGCAGGGCCTTCCAAGAGCTGGAGAGCCCGTTCTCTTAGGGAAGAAAGGCCTCCCGTCTGTTATTACCATGCGTTGTTCAGCAAAGGGGAATCTGGCGCATCCTCCTCCACAGGCGTGGCCCGCTCTCCTCGCTCCACCTAGGCTTCGCTTTTTCGTAGGAAGGAAGGTCCACTCTGCTGAATCCTCCTTGGAGATGCTCAGCTGGGATGGTCGAGATGCTACCTGCTAG